CTCAGCTCTGCCACCAGACAGAGGAGTTCCTGCACTCGGGCACAGCTCCCGCAAGCTGATTCACCACTGGTGGTCATTTGCAGTGAGAAAGCAGGGCATGCCCTGCAGTCAGGTACCTGGGTGGCCGCATGCGTCCACTGGGGCTCTGTCTGGGTAGCTGCCTCAGTCCTGGCTGGGGCAGAACCTGGAGCAGCCTTCAGTTTCTGTCGAGTGACCACCAAGGTCCTCGGTTATTTTGGTCGATTTCCAGCGCCAAAATGATTGTTTGTGTATACCTTTTATTATTACTCAGAACTTACCAGGTGCAAATGTTGTGATCTGGACTGATAGAGAGAAATTAGGTGTAATGTTTTCCATGATAGTATTAATTATTAGCATTAACATTAATCGTGATAACCTTAATTCTCCAAAATCTGGGGATCACTTTCCTAAAAATGTGCTTCATACAATCTGGGCTTGAGGATTAAAAAAAAAAAATAATTAAAAAATCTTGGTTTCAGTGAAAAGCACCACAATAAATCAAGAATTTGTTGTCTTGATCATATTATTTATGTAAGTTTGAATAGGCTTGTTATTTATAAATAACTAGGAAATATAAGTATATTTATAAATTACTAGTCTGAGAGTCAGACTTGAAAACTTATAAAGCTTGTTGTCTGTTGTTCCATAGATAACCCTCTTGATAAGATCCTTCTCTTGGAATTTATTTTCTTCTGGTCACCAAAAGGAGCTCAAAAGATGTGTGTTATATCCTCTAAAGGAAGAGTATGGAAAATCCAGTTTTGCCTCTCTCTGATCTTCTCATAAATTTCCATATTTGAAATTAATAACTGTACTTGGTTGAAATTATGGATGCCGTTGCTTTAATGAATGCTTTAAGATAACATTAATCCTAGCAAGTAGATATCTTTAGTACATGCTTAAACTATTCTGGGCAATAGGTGTGTTTTTCCTCTTTCCTCTTTCAGATTTCAGTTTGTGCATGTGTATTTATACTTATTTTTATTTTTTTAATGCATCTGAGAAGTTTATAAGAAAGGTAAGTAGTATCTAATTTAAAACTTTTTTTCAATGCTGCGGTTTTACTTAATAAAAATTAGGTCAGAATAAGAGTCTTTGAGCAAGAACAACATTTATTTCCTTCGCAGATATTTAGCTGTAGCTACTTCATTATTACGATTTTTGACCAGCATATACATTTCATAATTTGCTTGAATATTTGCACTTATTACTTGAACTGTAGTAGGCTCTTAACATTGTTCCGTAATTGTGGTCATAGTTCACGCAGTGCAAGGGTGTTCTGACCTTCTCTGATGTGTTCTGTAGGCAGCTCAAGGGGGTGGTCACAGAACCCTGCTGTATGGCCATGCGATACTACTTCGACATTCGTTTAGTGAAATGGTAAGTGAGAGAGCACTTGTGCAGGATGATAATATGAAACTCAGATAAACATCTTTTTATCAAAATAAAAAAGATATAAATTCAGAAGAATGTTCTTTCTAACTTTTCTTCTGCACTAGATAAAAAATTTGAATAGCTTATAGTGTCAACACAATGGAAGTAGCCTTTAAATTTTAAATTCAGGTTCTTCAATCCATTTCACTCAGAAATGTAACTGTGAAACTCCTTTAGCCATAGATTATTTCTGTGCCCTTAAAGAATCCATTTTAATGATAGTTCTGTTAGCAAGTTGCTGCTATTGCAAATGTATTTGTTGGAATATGTGTTATTTTTTCCATCATATTTTATAAGTTCTTCCTTTTAACATCCCATAGTTCCTAGAGACTGTGCCCACAAAAATGCTATCTTCAGGCTACCTTGTATAAATTTTGATTCACTACATTTTACAACTGGAAAATTTTAACTGCCTGTATCTTTGAATTATTAGTGCCTGTGCAAGTTTGCCTAATAGGAAGCTGAAGGAATAAGAAATCAATAAAACGTATTATCTTCTTATTCCTGACTAGAAGACTATACATTAGTCTTTAAATTATGTTACTTATGTTTATGAACCATACAAATCGTAGTTGCCTTGATATACCAGAGTTACAGGAATGATTATTGCCTTTTCGTATGTTTGCTATGTTTTCATGAGGCAAACTTGTCACTGTAATGCTGTAATAGGAACAGGCAAACATGTTATCTGATGAACCATGTGAAACTGTGGAAGGTAGGAGCTACATTGAACAGAGAAGTATGTGCTAGACTGGAAAAGGATTTTGATGTTTTAAAGTCAGGAAGCACTTGTACACAAATAACAATGTTTAATTTAAAAAAAAATCAAGCACAGGTTCATAGTAAGATGGACTAATGTGAATGTATTAATTTTGCATGTGTGTTAATGCATGCTGTTGTTTTTTGTTTTCAATAACTTCATTTTTTGCAGTATTTGACATGTTTAACATCATCAAGATCTCAGACGGATAAACTTGCATTTGATGTGGGACTACGAGAAAATGCAGCAGGTGTGGCAAGCTATTTTTTAAGGAAAATGTGTCAAATGCTTCTTTCTGCAGAAAAGGCATTGGGATTAATGGACTGGAAGCTTATGAATATCATATTTGTGTGTTCATTAGAAATAAGTTGACTGAAAGTAAATTATGACTGCCAATACTGATGACTTTGAGTAAATTAACTGACTGTGTAAGAATGTAAGAGTACCTTGCAATTAAACTGAATTAGTACAACTGATGATAATGGTCAAAGTAAAAAAATTCTGTTGAATAAAATAAATTTTATGCTTTTTTTTTCCTATTTGTATGGCTTGGCACTGTCAAGAGAATTAGAGCATGGAAAGCCATATATTGGTGCATTCACAATATACATTGTAACCATTGTAGCATGCAACTTGTAATACAGGAAAACAGAAAAATTGTAATGAGCACATTGCTAAAAGACCTGAAGAAAAATAAAAGCATAAAATGGTTCAAAATAATAATGGGACAGAGTGGAAGAGATACGACACAAACAAGAAATAACAAGAAAGCTTTAAAGTCTTATGAATAGATTTCTGGGAGTACTGCCAGTAACAGTGCTGCTGATAGAGATATAGTAAAAAAAAAAGTAGTTCTTCCATGAAATCACATATAAATTATGAGATGCCACTGGGAGCTATGTTAAATGAATTTAAAAGCAACTCAGCCACCAAGAGCCACAAATAGGTTTACATGCTACTGTATACATAGTATTAATGGTTACTGGAAGAGAAGAGTACTCACCAGAAAAAGTAACAGGTGACCCTGTAGTACCTTGAAGTATATCCATATCGTGAAGGAAAATGTAGGTACCTGTATACACACCTCACCTGTAAAGTGAGGCTTCAAATAAAGAAATGCCAGTTGTATTAATATCATCCTGTGCTTTATATTGTTTTCTCATTATTTTGAAAATAAATTTAGATCAAAATAGGCTAACTGATTATGGAGAGACACTGCCAATGTTAAAATGTTTGTGGATCATGATCTTTGAAACTTCCTTTCCAGAAGACTCTTATTATATACATGACCTTCTCTTACGAATGAGTGAAGATTGTCTTTCAGTTGTTTGTAGCCATACAGAAGATGGTCTCAGACAGATATTAGCAGCCTGTTACTTGATTATATCTTTGGTTGTTGCCTTAGATGGAGACCATTTTCTTTAGACATGTTGATAAAAGGAATGTATGTGTCCTATCTCTCTGAAAACAGTTTCAGTGAAATTTGTCTTTATAAGTTTATAGGGTTTTTTGTCAGAGTTATTGTGCATCTGTCTGCTTGTGCCCATAAGGGTTATGTAACAAATATCTGTAGTTGTCTCATACTGGTATTTGCTTAACTGTAAATATACAATAAGACCCATGTACACATAGGTAAGATACAAAAAGCAACACATAAAAGGAATGCTTAGTTGTGTTTCTGCACAATGAGAGAGCTGTATCTAACTCATTTTCTTCAAAGTCTTAACTAAACCCTGAAGGGTGTAAAACTGTGGAATGAATTAGGTAATCTTCCCAGAATCGGGGTGTGTGTGCATGTGTGCAAAGTAATCTTATATTTAATATGTAGGAAATATTCTATGCTTGTCATCCCTGGTTTTGGCTGTCCTGTAGTCATATGGTCTGTAGTGGTAATGGAACTGCTACCAGAAATGGTATTTGTATTGTAGCAGTATTGTAAAGTTATGGACTATTTGTTTCAAAATTCTGTATTCTGCAACATATAGTTTAGAGTGGAAATGATACAGAAGATTGTGAATTAAATAAGAATAGTAAACAAAAGAAGACAGAAAAGGTGATAATTAAGACTGAGGTAGGTGTCAACAATTTATTGGCAGTGGGAGCCTTGAAGGGAAGGGAGTTCTGAGGAGTGTTTTGTAAGTGGTTAGTTGCCTCAAGAAACATGAAAAGAGAAATATCAGCTTCAGAGATGACAGTAATTGGTTGACAAAAAGTTTCAAGAAAAAGAATAAAATAAAAATGGATTGAAAAGAAGAATAAGGTGGTTTTATAGCATGAATGTCTTATAAGACAATCTTTTAATACATTATTTCAATGTTTTATTACAATATCATTAAATTTCTTGGGAGTTGTCTGTTTTGTATACCCTTGATAAATATCTCTGTCCTTTAGGTGAGGCATGCTGGTGGACAATACACCCTGCTTCTAAACAAAGGTCAGAAGGAGAAAAGGTTCGAATAGGTGATGATCTTATCCTGGTCAGTGTGTCCTCTGAAAGATACCTGGTAGGTTTGTTTGTTTAGAAAGTGGACACCTAGTGGGAAAATACAGAGTGCTATGAAGAGCTGGGGGAAATGGTTGGGATTCTTGTGAATGATTTTCTTTTTCTAATCCAGGAAATAATTCCTGGTTGTAATGCACTTTTTTTTTTCTCAGTGAAAGGTTTTCCTCCCCCAAGACCCCTAGAACAAGACTGTTTTCATGCCTTTATCCTGAGGTGTACTTCAACATTCTTCATCTTGGGAAGTTTTTATTTCTGTAACTGTGTAAAATTCCTAAACTGCAGCTTAATCTGTTGGTTAGATTTAGAAAAGAGTTCATTTTGATAGCAAGTGACTACTAATTTTTAAAGAATATTTGTGTATTTACTTTCTTATGTATTTCCATCTTGTTGAGAAATTATTATGCTAAGTATTTTTAAGCACATAAATGTTACTGATTCCTGTTACTGTCGTCTTATTTCAGCATCTCTCCGTATCAAATGGAAGTATTCAAGTGGACGCCTCCTTTATGCAGACGCTATGGAATGTACATCCTACATGCTCAGGGAGCAATATTGCAGAAGGTTTGTCAGTTTATTTATTTAGAAATATATATACTTTAAATTATTTGAATTGATTTTCATACAGAGTGAAAATGGAAAAAACCCACCTTCAGATCATCAAACTAAAGAGATTAATGAAAATAAAGAAAATGAGCACGGAAGAGTAGAAAATGGAGAAATACAGTTAAATCAGCCAAATTAACTGAAGAAAAGCTAAATAAGTGCTGTAACTTTAAAATAGCAAAGCATAAAAAGCTGCATGAGAAATGAAGACTTAGAGAGCAACAGAGGAATTTATTGTCTTCAGTTTAATTTTGGGGAGTAGGAGCTGCAGAATAAGTAAAGCCAGTAAACTTAGATTTTGTATACGGTTTTCCATCACCCTGTAACAGAGGTAACAGAAGAGAGATAAAGGTACATGCAAAATGGAAAGCACGTGTCTCATAGTTTCTATTTCTGTCTCTTACTTGTGTTTTTAAAGATATTTGTTCCAAATTGCTTCTAAATCTTACAGCCATGCTTCCTTATTGTCTCTCTGTAATAGTCGATGAAAATGAGCTCTCTAAACACATCCTCTTAATCAGCCTTAAATCTCACACCACAGGGTCAGGATTTTTTTCTAGGTACTTGACTGCACTTTACAACAGTTTTTGAAAAGCATCACCTTGTTCTGTTTGAGAAATGTCTTGTTCTGTAATGAAAGGCTCATCCACTCACTGTTGCTTCTTATTTCAATGCCATACCATGTCATTAACACTGTCATAACAAACACTGTACTTTACCTCTGCTATTCTTTGTTTGAAGTACCAGCTCTCCACATTCATAAATGGTAAATGTCTTTAAGTCAGGATCATTTTGTATCACTTGGCCCTAAAAATTAACCACTTATGATGTAGTAATATTCTGGATCATAGGAAAAAATTGAGTTATAGAGGACCTGAAAGAGACATTGCATTTCCCTGGAATCAGCTGTACTAAGTCTTGATAGAAGTAGACTGCCCTGGTGCTAAAGACTAACAGTCACTAGGTTTGTCTGAACTGTGGTTGGGTCCTTCTATCCTGGTTTCTCTCAGATAGAATCGTAGAATTTGTTTGGTGGCTGGTCAATAGGATTATTTCATACCATAACCTTCACGCTCACTATAAACTGGGGAGTTTGCTGAGAATGCTCTCTCTTTCCTCAATGATCATCATCCCTGGAGGGTCTCACCCATGATTCTGCTCCCAAAGCCTACTCCCCTGCTTCTTGCGACCACTGTGTCAGCTGAGTATAGCTTTGTGTGCTTTATATTAATATTGTTATTAGTTTATTATTATTATTATATTAAATCTGTTTCTATTTCAACCCACGGGACTCATTCTGCCAATTCCCCTCCCTAGGCATGGAGGAGTCATCAGGTGATAGAACCACTGTCTAAATGATGATACTTTCTAACCCCAAATGGTTTAAATCAGCATCCCACAGTGTTCCTGTGCACTGGCCCATAAAGAAACTTGTTTCAGAGTGTTTGTAGGTCTTCCTTTCAAGAGCATATGGGATATATATTTTCCTCCTACTTTCTGATTGCTTTCTGTTGCTAGAAGTGTGTTATGGTGGAGCTGTATATTTAAAATGTCTGTCTGGTCCCCTGCTACTGTGGATTATAAATAGAAGAGGCGTTAACTCTGGAAAAGTCCCTGTGTTCTCAGGTTTTGCAGATAAAACAAAACCAAGCAAACAGAAAAGCCATCCTATAGTAAAACTAAAAACTTGTAACAGTAATGAGCTACACAGAGAGATATGGAAAATCAGTGGTATATTTTAGATTCTGTAACAGCAGGGTTTTGACAGCTAAATTTCCTAAGTGAATCATAGAGTGGTGGAGGTTTGAAGAGACCTGATCCAATTTTCTGCTCAAGCAGGGCCACCTAGAACAGGTTGCCCAGGACTATGGCTAGACAGCTTTTGAATATCTCTGAGAATGGAGACTCCACAATCTCTCTGGGCAACCAACCTATGCTCAGGCATCCTCTCATACAAAAATGTTTCCTGATGTTCAGACAGATCTTCCTGTATTTCAGTTTGTGCCTGTTGCCTCTGGTCCTGTCACTGGGCACCATTGAGGAGAGCCTGTCTCCATCCTCTTAATGTTGATGAGGTGTCCGCAGAGCATTCTCTTCTCTAGGTCAGAAGTCCCAGTTCTCTCAGCCTTTCCTCATATGTGAGATGCACCAGTCTCTTAATCATCTTAGTGGCCCTTGGCTGTACTTAGAACCCTTGTACTGTGTAACTCAAAATTGAACACATAATCCGAAATTGCATAATAATAATTTTAAAGAAGGATAGCATGGGGTAAGCAGTGAAGTAGACTTTCTGTGTGTCATTTTTTTTCCAACTACTTAGGCTTAAGTTTAGCTATACCTCTTAGAACGGTTTACATGAGGGGTGATCATATGTCAAAAGATTTAGCAGCGTGGCTCAAGTTGAATGGACAGACTGAGAAAGTGAGAAAGTCTAAAATTAGACTGGAGACAAACATAGTCTGGCAAACAGACTTTTTGTGAAGTTTGAAGTACTTCTGATGGAATGTAAACATCAGGAAAGGTTATTTTTTGCATTCTTTCTTTACTGTGACCTTTGCATTAATTTGCAACAAGATAATTGCCAGTTACCATTTTCCTAATTAATTTATATTCAATTGACCATGTAGTATGAAGGTTTCCTTCTCCTTTATGTGTGTTCTTTTAAAAAGCATTAATTTCACTTACAAGGTCAGAACAGGTTGGACTGAGGGTCTGGTGAATCATTCTCCTTCTACATAATGTTTTTTCTTTTCTCCTTCTGTGAGGCAAAGTGTCTGGTTTTGACCTGTAGTCCTTGTGTTAAATGGGTTGGAAAGTTAGCTTCCATTAATCTTGATCTTCAGAACTGCTAAGTGTTTTTCTGTCCTCTGTTTTCTGCTGCTGTTGTTTAGTTTTGATTTTGACACAAATTATAAGTGCCAGAACAAAGTGATGATCTCACCAAATTATTTTGTATTGAGAACATTTAAATTCTATTAAGGGAGAGGAAATGATAGTGTTATGTAATTGATTTGGCTTTTACCTAGAGCGTTCAATTTTCAAAACAAGTTCTTTTCTTTTCAGTCCCAGAGTCCTAATTTGATTTTTAAATGTTAAGAGATTGCTTTCTTTTTATCTTCATTTTCAGAAGACATATTTTAACTGAAAAAGATACTACTAATAATATGTTTTCCTTTTAAATATTTTCTTCTTGTTTAATTTCAGTTATGAGTGAAAATTTGGAAAGCAGATTTCACCTAAGTCTTTTGAATTTAAAGAATTTTTTTTGAGGGCATTATCTTCATATTGTTAATGTTAAAGCTTATGAGTAAATGTGCTTATTCTGCAGGATATCTTCTTGGTGGGCATGTAGTACGTTTTTTCCATGGCCATGATGAGTGTTTGACAATTCCATCTACAGACCAGAATGATTCACAGCACAAGTGAGTGGTGGTGCATTTTTGTACATTTCCTTATCTCAAAAAAAATAAATAAATTGTTGATTGTGAGTTGAATTTGAGGTTAGATACATTAAATACTCATTACAGCAGTCTTTAATTAGGCAGTGTCATTGTTACAGGTTGAGACCTACTAAGCAAAAAATCAGTCATGAGTTCTTTTATTGCTATTCAAGTAGTCGATTTCCACTGAGATTTCAACCTGTTCTGTTATTTGTATTTAATGCGTACTACTATAAGAAGAGGTAAGCAAGCAAGAACAGGGCAGATGGTAGTATTAAAGAAACTGCTGTAAAAAAATCTCTGAAGGTTTGGTCTCTACAATGACTTTCATATTTTATGTATTTTATGCCTTTTGCAAGTTCTTGGTCTCTCAAATTTTATTAATACGTTGTTATAATTAAATCATATTAGCTAGACTAAATCACACTTATATTGAACTTAAATATCCAGTTATATATTCTGTTGATTTTTTATTTGACTTTAACTTTGCATTTTGTTGATAATCAAAAGCACAGCAAGCTAATAATTTTGATACAAAAAACCCCCAGCATTAAAAATCATATTCAACAAATAAGATCTCTATACCTGTTGTGACAAATAAGTTATGCTTTAGGTAATATGATACCACAAGTATCATTCAGTTCTAAATTTTCCATTATTATATTTCTATGGAGTAAAAATTTGTCCAGAGCTGAAAGAAAACGAAAACCGAATGTCAGAAAACTTGACTTGTTGGTGGAATTTTGTATCATTGCTGTCCTCATATGTGTACAGAAGAAAAAAGATACAAAGTTTGCACTGAGTGTGAACACATGCTCACCTAGTATAAAAATGTTAGCAAATGTATTAGGATGTTCAGAAATGCTGTACTTTGCTATTGCTGTTACTTATCTAGAAGTCAGATATAGTTAAAACCAAAAATAATCGTGGAGTCCTGTTGCCTTGTACAATGTTCTTCTTACTATATGTTTGGTGCATATTGTTACTGCTTTAAGTTCTGCTTCGTTTTTTTGTTTTGTTTTGTTGTTTGGTTTGGGGTTTTTTTTGCAACTATGTAAATAAAAGGGTAAAATTAGAAATGTTTACTTTTCTGAATGGAATCTATGTATTTATATTCCTAAAATAGGAGAATAATGTGAATGCTATATTGAATATTTTCAAATGTGTGATAGTGATATAATGTGCACTTGCAGCCCAGAAGCCCAATTGTACCCTGGGCTGCATCAAAAGAAACGTGACCATCAGGTCGAGGGAGGTGGTTCACCCCCTCTGCTCTAACGAGACCTCATTTGGAGTACTGTGTTCAGTTTTGGGACTTCCAATGTAAAAAAGAAATTGACCTGTTGGAGTCAGTCTAGAGGAGTGCCACAGAGATGATCGAAGAGGATGGAGCACCTCTCCTGTGAAGACAGCCTGAGAGAGTTGAGGTTATTTAGCCTGGGGAAGAGAAGGCTCTGGGAGACCTTATTGCAGCTTTCCAGTACTTAAAGGGGGCCTACGGGAAAGGTGAGGAGGGACTCTTTGTCAGGGAATGTAGTGATAGGACAATGGGTAATGATTTTAAACTGAAAGAGGGTAGATTTAGAGTAGATATAGGGAAGAAGTTCTTTACCATGAGGGTGTGAATGCCTACTCCCTGGAAGTGTTGGATGGGACTTTGAGGACCCTGGTCTAGTGGAAGATTTCCCTGCGCATGGCAGGGGGTTTGGAACTAGATGATCTTTAAGATCCCTTCCAACCCAAACCATTATATGATGATGTGATTTGGAGTTGTCCTATCTTTTGGATTTGTGAGCTGCATGAGAGACAAAAGGCTAAGATTGTACAGTGTCATACTTGTAGGAGTCACATTTACATTATACAAAACAAAATGAATACACAAAAAACCCCAAACAAATAGCAATAGAAACAGGAGAAAGCTGTAGAAAATTGTTGTGTTTCTTTCTGTCTTTATGTTTAATCATTTCTATACATTGCATTAGGACTATTAAATAAGCTAAATTGACAAGAATTATAATTTCTCTTTTCATAGAACAGATATTTAATTTTCTGTAAAGAATGCTCCTTAGCAATTCACAGAGTGACCATTCTCTGCCAAGAATCTTAAGGTCTTTTATTGCAGGCCAAGTGAAAATACAGGGGATGGACTTATTGAGCATCAAAAAGAAGGTGTGGCAAAATCTCAGTACAAGGTGGATGGATGGATGGATGGATGAAATCAAGGAGAAGATGAAGAAAATGTGTGGATACTGTTGTTCCACAGCAACAGCAGCAGCTGTTCTCTTTCAGTTTTGCAACTGTAAGAGCAGGTCACTAATGCTAGCACAGTCTTGCATGTAGATAAAGCTGGAAAAGGGTTAGAGAATTTAAGTAGTATAGGAATTTAAGAATTACAAAAGGTGAACAGAGGCATATCTGTGGCATTCTTAAGTGAAGGAATGGTTGAGTTGGGCCAAGGAGAAATGAATGAGGTCAAAGAGAATTGAAATGAATTGTTAGTATTGAGCTTAGCTAGGAAGAGGTCATCAGGGTCTGCAGAAGTAACATCAGTAAGGTGAATGTGAAAAAAGAGGCTCTAAATGACTAGAGTGAAGATGGAAAAGAAAAACTCTGGACAGTTACTGTGTATTCAGAATATTCGCAGTATCATAGAACAGCCCAGGTTGGAAGAGGCCTTCAAATATCATATTCATAGAGTCTGAAAATGAAGATTAACTGATTGTTAGGTTTTTTATTGTCATTTTGTATTTTGATTCTAGAGTATCAAAACATTACTATGGAAGACAAGATGTGTAGGAAATGCTACTACCTTTGCTATGAGGAAGATATATTCTTACTCTTATGGTGTGCTGTCATTTAAAAATTTTTGAAATCACAAGTGTGTTCTTAAATGTAACTCCTAAATAATGTACTGATGTAGATCTGTGAGTCCATCATCTTATAAAGATACTGGATGCAAATGGTTTGTCACATTCCATTATACTTCATGTTAATATATAAGGTTCTTCTTGGAATGTATGAGTGCTGATCAACAAGCAGATCATCAAATATATTAAAACTTAAGTGTTGTCAACAGAAGAAAAGTTGTAGAAATGTTTAGATAAGAAAAACACAGCTTTCATTTCACAAGTTGAGTTACAGGTCCCATAGTTGCATGAGAACTATGCTAGCGGTTGTGTTTTTTTCCTGTTAGCTGTTGCAAAAGGAAAAGAATCTGACAATCTGAAAAACCAGTCGAAGTTTTGCATTTCAAAATGCTACTTTAATTCAGAACATAATGTGTAACAGCTAGATTGTCACATTTCTATGTATGTATGCACAGCATTCAGTCAAGTTTGCTGGAGCAGAAAAGCAGATTTTAAACTCCCTTGCTGCGTATTTTTTTCACATACCTAAGTAGAATAGAAGACCCAGCTCCCATGCATGCTAGGGTGGATTAGTCCTGTTTACAGGAATATGTGTAAGGAAGTTTTTCATCTTTCAGTAATCATTCATGTCTTGTCATCCAAGCAGCAGAATTTGTATAACCCTTCTCATATATAATGGAGATAAAAATTACAATGGTTAATAGGAAAGGTCTTGACCTGAGGCTCAGAATATACAGGAACTGGTTTTTTATTATTAAAAGCCTTTCTTTACCCTATTACTAGATTTTTGTTTTGTTTTGGTTTGGTTTTTTTTGTGAGGTGTAAAACGAAATCCTTTCCTAAGAACCAAATTACAATTATAACATGTTTTTTTGGTACCTTTATCATGTTATGATACAGTCATTTTTCATTCTATGTTATTCTGTGTCTTTCAATTTGACTGTCTTTATGATCTGGGGTCAGTTCCTGCTATTTTAATTAAACAAGGAACAGTGGAACTGTTTTCTTCGTCTTTCTTCACCTCTTCTTTCATTTGGGAAAGGGAAGAAAGGCTATGTGAATTACCATTCTTACCTTTGACAATGCCTCAACAAAACTTTTCATTAGAAATTGATGAAAGCGTTTAGGAATAAACATGAATCAAATATTCTTCTTATGAAGTTCAACCATCCTCTCCTTTAGGTGTCAGTATAAATATATGAACAGAAAGAATCACTGCCAGAGAATTTTAGAAATACAAAAGAGGCTGACTGCTTATGTTGCTTTAAGAAAAGAAGAAAACAACAGAATTTTGGAAGTTTGCTGCGCTTTTGAGAAGAAGATAGTGAATGAGTTTGTTTTGCAACTAGAATAATTCTGCTTGCATGTCTGAGCTCTGCTTCCTTGCTCAAATTATGAAATTATGAAAGACTTTACTCCAGTATATTACAGTTATTAACAATATGATTTAATAATAATATTTTCAAATAGATAATTATATATAAGAATATAATTTTATCTGTATTTTCTGTTTTGTGAGGATTATTATTCTGGTATATTATTATATTCTGGTATATTATTATATTCTGGTATATTATTCTGGTAAGAATGTGAAATTAATTCTAGGAATTCTAGGAATGAAGTCTCTGATGTCGTATTCATGCAGATAATCATTAATGTATGTAGATATGTGTACTCATTTTAATATTGTGTTTATATGTATTTAAGATCATTAGTAATTTAGATTAATATCTTGGGAACTGTATGATTAAGTAACAGCAAAAGTTTCTCAGCTACTTTGAAGTCAAAGTATTTTATCAGCTCCTGAGAGAAAATAGCGTAATGGAAATAGCCCAACTTACCTGGGATATTTGGATTGTGTATCGCGCCCTTACTGATGAGTAGGAATCTTCTGTCCACTCAACTCCATCTGTTTAGCTAGGGAAAAGTGAGTCCTACACAGTTTACAGAAGAATAAGTCATAAATACGATGTAGCACAAATAAACACCAGAGGATGAACTTCTGAATCCCTTCTGCAGGAAAGTACTTTATGAAACTGGAGGAGCTGGCGTTCGAGCAAGGTCTTTGTGGAGAGTGGAACCACTTCGGATAAGGTACTGATATTTTTTAATTTTTTCTGTTAGCAGCTCTTGTTAACAGCCATTCAATTGTTACAGACTCATAAGGCAAAACATGAGTAATATATGTGTCTTGCTATATGATATATGTTAGTGTGTTTGTTGTCAATAATTAAAAGTAGTCTACCATCATATAATTTTACTGTTTTTTAGACACTATCTCCCTCCTAGGTGATTAGTTATCTGTTACTTGTTGCAAATAAAATTTCAATATATATCACAAGGTTATACGTGTTTTAACCAGCCTTCGGTACTGTATGTTTGTTTTGCTCTTGGTGTGTTTGTGATTGTAAATGAAATACCCTCATAACTTACAAAGGTGTAGAATAGTTCTTTGAAATGTTGAGTACTCAGTTTTAATTTGTTTAGGCAGTTAACTGAATTAAATGTAGGAAATTTTTTTTATCGACACCATGTGTAAAACAGAGAGAGGGTACAGAAACAAGAAAATTTAAGCTATGTTCCTTTCCAAGGTTCTCTTTGCAAATGCATTATCAGTTTTGCATCTATTTTGATGCAAGTATTGAAACCTAAAGCAAAAAGCAATTTTTAATGCACTGTATTTTCTGAACATCATTTTAAGCCCATAATAGAAATACTAGTTTTGCTTACTTCATAATTTTTTTTCTTGATGTCTCGTGTTTAGCTGGAGTGGAAGTAACATCAGATGGGGACAGCCTTTCCGCCTTCGACATATTACAACAGGAAATTACTTGGCTCTGAATGAAGATGAAGGACTTGTAATGTTAGACAGGGAAAAGTCAGACACAGCATCTACTGCCTTTTGTTTTAGAGCATCAAAGGTAAATTTGTCTTAAATGCGGAGCAGTCAAATACTAGATCTGAGTTGGTTCAATGACTTCAGAAATTATTTGTAATTTCTAAATTGAAGCAATTGATAAGGATTATGCATTTAAATGCACAGGTAAACAACCTGAGTTGAGAGAAACAAATGTTTCCTTGAGGAAAAATAGAGATGATGAATAAACTTTATTCACAGGTTAAAAAACCAAGATTGATAACTAGTACAATGCAAGATACAGTGGTTTAATATGAGTATTTTCATCATTATGGAATAATTTTAGTCGGACAGAATCTCATTAGAATGTTATTCATTCCAGCTCTATGTGTCATAATTGAATTCAATTGAATTTAGTTCACTTGGGCAAAATTCTGCCCTTGCTATTCTTTGTGCAGTGTGTTGATAGCTGAATTGCAAGAAAAATGTAGTCAGTGATTTCTTAACCATATGTTTTCAAACTGTGCTCTTTAGTGAGCTGCTAATTGCATGTTACTAGCTTTTTCATCATTTCCAGCTGAGAAAAACAGTACAAGTGAGAGAGAATGAAGGATAATTACAGAGGTAGGCAAAATTACAATAATGTTTTTCCAGAAATTGAAATGTTTTTACATCAAAGGTGATGAAAAGTTTTTATGTCCTTTCATGGTATTACTTACAAATAGCTGCCATAACTGCTACAATAAAGTTTTTTATTATGTATGAGTACGTAGATGTTCCATGTAATTCTGAATGCTGTGTGGTCCCTGAAGGGCAGTGAAAAAGAATCTTTAAAGTTAGATGTATACTAGATAAAGTCTAGCATTAAGGGTCTTTCCAGATGCTAGACTTTCGTTAGTATAATAAAGCAAATACTTCTTTTTAGCATTTTAAAAATAACAATGTTTATTTTATTTGTGTGACACAATATGGTGTGCCAAGAACTTTTATTTTAGCTAATAAAAAGAATTTCAAAACTATTGGGAAATTTCCTTAGGTTGCTGGATGCTCACCAAATAGTTTTTACTTTTTTCTTCAGTGTAAATGCTATGCGGTGTAGGTTCTACATGTAATGTTGTACAGGGGCAGTTAGTACAGCTCTTATTTCCCCCCATTTTTGGCAAATCATGGCACCCTGGTATGAATGGTGAGTATGCCAGAAATGCCACAATTATTCAACATTGTGTTCAAATTCCTGAAGATTTTTTTTTTCCTGAAGAAAGAAAGGTGAGGTTTTGGAACTACATAAACTCATACTATTGATCTGGACTGTGAGAGGGAAAGGACTCTTAAAACCAAGTGTTGATTGCATATAGATTGAGGCCAGAATAACTGTAGAACTAATAGTTAGACTTGACACATGCAAGTGTGCTTATCTTATTTTCTCTACATATGCATTTGTAAACCTTTGTTTTCTCATGTTGATTTTCACAATGAAGAAATATTTTCAGTTGCCCAGACCTTAATATGACATAAATCAAGGGAAATTTCAAGACAACTTTCTAATATCTTCCTATCCAGTTGTGTAGAGTACCTTAAAAATAGGGTGCTGGAATACATGACTATTTACAGCACTCCTGCCCTTTAGAATCCTAGAGTAATTCTCATTGGAAAGGACCTTGGGAAGTCACCTAGTCCAGCCTTCTGCTCCAGGTGGGGTCAACACAGAATTCAGACCAGATTGATCAGAACTTACATTGTTGTGGACTCTCCAGAAGAAAATAAAACATTTTTCCATTGAAGTAGTTTTTTCCACTTTGAAAGCCAGCAAAAGGGATTTTGTGGAAAAAAGAGATGAACTTTGCCAGCAGGCAGAGCTTTGTGCAGTATACCAAATCCCCAAGGCTTCACAGGAGCCTGTAGCACATGGCTGAAAGTCTTATTTTTCCAACAGTTGTTATAGAGACCCTCCTGTTGAAAAAAGCACACCTTCATCCTCAGTATCATTACATAACACTTCAGGTCTTGTGTGCTCCTTGCTTTTCAAAACCTATGATTGCATTCATAATGTATTTACTTTCAATGTTTTGTTTCCTTTTGCCAAGTAACACTGGAAAGGGAAATAGATATTTTAAATTATAAAATTCAAATAAGAATTTTCCGTAATAAGTCCTTACATAAATAAGAATCAAAGGAAGTTTAAAAAAAAAAAAGCGAAAGAGTATGCTAAAGAACATTATGGTGCTGATTTCAATGACAACAGCATATGTAAACTATGTCTATTTACTGCAAATTACTGCAAGCTTTTTACAAGCATCAGAAATTGACAGCAGACCTCCAAAGTTACACCTTTTCTTTGGTTTAATACGGAGCTTATTTTTGAAAAAGTTTTAAAATGCCAACCGTTATGTTTTAAGGCAACAGCACTGTAATGCCTTGTGACCACAACGACAGCAGAAAAACTACAGCAGATGGAATCCTGTTTTGAAATGGGATGTTCTCATTCCAGCACAGTACTTGGCTCAGTATACTCTGCTGAGCAGAACCTGGATTCTGCTTACAAGTTTCTTTGGAAAAAACACAGTGAAGAACAAGAGCATATTTGAAAATAGTTGTTTATTTAAAAATTGTTGTAGCCCAGACTTAATATTTGAGATATCAAATTTTATTTTCATGATCCTACATACAATTAACAATGAAGAAATTATTGGTATAGTCTGATTAAGTAACATTCTGACACATTAAAAAGTCACAGATGACTCATGCAGAAGGATTTGATATCATTTTAATATTACTGCCAGCATCTGGCTATCTTAGGGGCTCAACATGGCATTATGATGTCGTAATAGTTTAGTAGTAATCATACTTTAGTTAGTTTTTGGAATAAAATGATAGGTATCGCAAAGTCCTTTACCTTCAATTGTCTCTAAAAGCTCAGGTTCTTAATTTTTAGTTCATATTTTACAATTATCGTTTCCCAATAAACACTGCATTTGAAATGCAGTATTAAACTATTTACTAGTTTTATATGGGAGGAGAAAGTAGAAGGTAAAATTGAAATAACCTACTTTTTTTCTTGCCTCATGGGGTGGAGAAATATATTAAGCAAAATGCACAGAATACAGTAAGCCCACTAGCAAGATAAGTAAGCTCAATATGTCAGTCCTCTGCTCTTATATTTGTGGACTTTTTATCTTTTTCTTTTGTTAAATTGGTGTAACCAATGGTGGTGCTTTTAGTGTGATAGCAGTGTGCAGCACCAAAAGATACAATTTTAAATAACTTGTCTGTGCTAGATTTAAGAAGAGTTCGGCAGTCAGGTTGTTTTACCATTCCTAGGAGTACATAAACAAGCCTTTAAGATATCAAGAGATTTTTCCCTACTATGTTTTTACAAGAAGACTCTTGAAAAATCATCGGACAGTTTAGTTTATTTGTCCTGCGCACACTGCCATTCCACACCTTCCTTCTGTCACGTAGATTGATGATTCTGTCAATTCTCTTTTTCTGAATCTTGCCCTTCTTCTGGTACATTAAATATTGCCTGAAATTTGCATCTTTGGCAGCTTTGCCCTCAAGTCCCTTTGTCATTCCTTCTTTCTTTTTTTATTTTTTTGTTAGTTATTTTTCCTTTGCCATCTTCCAGACCCGTGACATGATTTGTTTTCTTCAACTTGATTCATTCATGGCCTGAGGGAGTTAAATTTAGAATAGGTTGTGAAGAAAGCAGAAAAATATGCAAACAGTTCCTCCTTCCAAGCCCTAAGATGTGTACAAATATATAGATAAGAGATATATTTTTCCTCTTCTCCCCGATAATCTTTATCTGGCTATACTTTTCAGCTGTTAGAAAATACACCCAGTGTTTACACACTGCTATCAAATTACTTGGCTGAAATCCTAGGGAAACTGGACAGAGCACAAAGAGCAAAAGATCATGAAGAGGAATGTATGTTGTATTGCTTAAAGTGAGAACAGCCTTCAGGCCCCCAAAATCATTCTAAAGCTTTATTTCTGAAATTGAAGAGCTCTTGGATTTTCTTTGTCTAGTGTTGTCAGAAAGGATCAGTATCACTCAATTTTTTTAAAGCAGTAACTTAATTAGGATCACTTGTTACCACATTATGATTTATTTCATTGCAGTTTTCATTGATGCTTGATTCCTGAAGCAGTCATATTATTTGATAGATATGTTTTGATCTTCAGGGTATAAAGCCAATAATTAATTGCTGACAGTTAATGAATGTATACTATTTTATTGTATTTTTCATTTAATGGCCTCACCATAAATGTGTATTGGAAGAGTTCATCTTTATGTGATAGTGTAGTCTGCATATATATGATGTGACATAATTTACCCATGGTCTTGATATTGTAATGGTATCCCCAAGGAATGTCTTGTAATTTCATTCTAATTCATCTTAGCATTGTAATGCTGTCTGTTTCAATTAAAATTATTGTTGAAATGTGATTGCTAAATTCCATACAAATTAAAGTAGATTAGCATTGTTAAAATAAAACCCTCTTTACTCCACAGATGTTGAAAATTCAGTAAACGGAAATGAAATAAGAAAACCTGTTACACATATAATAATTCAAGCTGTGTATTAATGTCTAACATATTTTGTTTACTTAGCAAGAAATGAGCAACTATCTACACTTAAGGTTGAGCCCATCGACATTTCAAATCATAGAAAAATTATTTAATTTAACTGCTTTAATTAAGATATTTTTGTTTAATCACAGACATGTACATGCATCCATAATTTACTATAACAGAATTTGCTGCATAGTTCTGTTCTTAATCTTGAATTCAGTTTTGAAATGAAACCTATATTATTTTAAAGAAAAAAGGTACTTCCTTTTGTGCTGGAGTCTTAAAATCCTCTGCTTGTGAATGGAGAATAATGGGATTAAGAAAAGGGTTGGGTTTAAAAGTTGTCCCGGGTGTTCCAGCTGAGCATTGAGCAATGTCTTTTAAAGAGGTTTGAAATAATCCAATTTCTCTTTCTCTTCTCTTTGTCTTACAAAGACAATAAATGGATGAATAAAAGAAATGTAAAATATTAAGAAATGCAAAACTAAAATAAATGTAAAAGGCAAATTGTACTTATTTTTTTAAATTAATATTTTCTTCTTTGCTGCTCGTTGCAATACAGAGGCATTATTCCAAGTGAAGTTCTTATCTGCATATACTAATTATAAGTAAAAAAATATTTAGAATAAAAATATTTTAACTAAGAGTATCTTTCTGCTTGTTTTTCTTGTTCATAATTAAGCTAAAATTTGAATATTTTAATTATAGAAAGTTATGCATGCTCTGCTAAACTGAGACTTCAATTACATCAGTAATTCAATTATTGATTAGATTTGGTTAAATATTTAAAGTTTTTTAAAACTGTATATCTTTACATGGTAATGGATTTTACTTGATTTTTGAAATGAAATTTAGCTGCATATTAACAATATAAGTAGCATGAACCTTGTTTAGTGCTGGAATGTGTTTCAGTGTAGAATTCAACGGTTTATCCTGTTGCAGTACAAAGATTAAATGCCAGCTTTTATTTTATCTTCTTAGGAGTTGAAAGAAAAGCAGGATTCTAGTCTTAAACGTGACATGGATGGAATGGGAGTCCCAGAAATAAAGTATGGTGATTCAATCTGTTTTGTCCAACATGTGGCAAGTGCCTTATGGTTGACTTACAAAGCACAAGATGCTAAATCAGCACGTTTAGGTCCCTTGAAAAGAAAGGTAATGTTTAAGGGGTTTTTTTTTAATTACTTGTCAAATGAATGTTAGTTGGATAGTAGTTTTATTCTGTTCTGGATTTTTTTACCATTCTACCAATGTGGCAATTGTGAGTTTAATTGTTTCGTGCTGTTTTATTGAAAATGGTGTGAATATTTCATTCTAAAAATGAAAACAGTTATGAATTTGAGCAGAACTGTGTAACTAAAGAAAAACTTTGCCACTAAGAAATATATTTAGCTATTTTTCTTGCCAGAAGAAGTTATAAATTTCAGCTCAATTTTTATTTATGATAGTTCAGTAAAATATGGAAATTCTTGATTTGGTTGGTCAAATTACTTTTAAAAAATCTGCATTTAACTGTTTAAGGGCATTAACAGTTTAAGGGCATAAACTTCTAAGCTATCTTACTTTCACTGATGGTTTAGATTTTTTAATTGAGTTTATTGTATGAAATGAGAATTAAATTTGTTACTTAAGAAATGACCCTAGAAACGGCTCGGAGTTTTTAAAGGGATATTAATGAACAATTTCCTGCCAAGATGTTAGATATAATCTTGATGTGACATCAAGAAGGTATTTCTCTTGGCCTTTTTATTATATGGTACAATTATATTCTTAGTTGGGGGCATATGTTCTGTTATCTCTTCAAATTACCTTTGCATTTCATTCAGAATTAAGGGCTTTAGTACTGGCTTTGCATAACTGCATCATTACCAAATGATTTTTTGATTCAGAGATTTTTACAACTTGATCCTGTTTTTAGAACATGAAAAAGAAAAAAAATGTATTACTGAACAGAAGTTGGAATTCTTTAATTACTTGCATTTATGTACATTCATAAGAGGATACCCATACAGAAGCAATGTAAAACAAAAAATGAGATCCTCAGCACAGGCAGTGTGTGCCCATCCCCTTCACTTCTCAGCAACCTGTTTGCTAAGAGAAATTCTTCTTTCTATGCCAGTCATTCAGTATTTTCTCGATAAGAAATATAATCATCCAATGATGGCCTCTTCCTTTCCTGTTGGCTCTGGGATTATGTTTTCTCAGAGAGTCTAATTTTACTTTCTGAAAAGGCAACATGTGGATTCTTCCTCTGTATTCAGTGAAGAATTTTGCAATACCTTCTTGTGAAGTTCAGTATTTTTTTCCCTAGTTTTTTGCTTAGCAGCAGGGGACTAAAAGGACCTCCATAATTGCCTGTCACTTTTATTCTTCTTTCAAACTGCTTTATTCATGTTCAAAGACTCCAAATCTTTTGTTGCCCTCGTGTCTGGAGAATTATTTCCTGTTAGGTGCCTTTAAAGAGGCAAAAACCCAAACCTTTTTGCTTCCTGTAATTGATATTCCTGTGGAGGCGAGAAATAGTTTTTCGTCCTCTGCAAGATATGACACTAGACTATAGTTTTTGTAAGCAAGTTTAGACATATATATCCCTTGAAATTTAATATAAAATTTATTTTTCTACAGTAAAGTGGAGTCATAGCTTTGTATAACTCCTCCACCATCATTTTTTCAGGAGATTTTCACTTTCAATCACTGTAATCCTTCTCAAGTTGACCTGAACATTTTGTAACAGGCCTCAGTAGCCCTAGGAGGGTTGAGAAATACCTTATTTTTGCAAGAAGCAAAGGCTGGGGTTTTTTACACATAACCTAGCTGTTATTACTGACAGCTGATGCAAATCTAGAGAGGAGAAAACAACTATGGGATTAGTTCAGTTATAAAATATTCATAATACCAACTAAAAATTTCTGTTTGGCTTTGGTGTAGTTTCATGTAGCAAGTTATTATGATGTCTCTGCAAGATGCAAATATCTAAGAAATTCTGGCATCATTTATGAGGCTTCTGTTGCATGATTTCTGCCAGAATTTTGATGTGTTGTATCTGTCTCTGAGATCCTGGTAACCAAGGGTTCCTCCACCATCCAGCATGAGTGATGGATGCCTATCTTTTCAGTTTGGGAGCTTGCTTCTGTGCAACCTATGAACTTCTGCAGAGCTCCAGGATGCTGGAGCTCGGAAAACAGAGAAACATGCTACATATTTTGGATTCATGTCCAGAAGACCATTGCTCAAGGCGTTGGTTAATACCAGTGCCTGCTGTACCTAAACAAGCAAGGCAGTGACAAATGCCCCTTTACATGCAGGAGACTGGTTTCTCTGAGGAACTGCTTCTGACTATAATCTACTTAATGGAGTTTTATATAGCACTTTCCCATCATTGTAGTGTTTCTGGATGATTTAGTTGCGGTTTTGGTGTGTGGGGTTTTTTGGTCAGAGAAATAGGGAAGATTAGGTCCTACTGAAAGACTTCTCCCTACCCTGATCTACTGCTACTGAGGGAGAATAGTGGATATCTTCTACACAATGGTGAAGGCGCAATTACTTTGCAAGACATGGCAGCTTTAGTATCTTATCTGTCAAATATTTTCATTCCTGTACCTCCATGATCTGCAGCTATGTGCAATGGCCATAGGAATCATTAGATTGTCAAATGTTCTTAACTGGTTTTTTGATAAGAGGAATGCTGCTTTAGTTATTTTTCAGTTAAGAGATTCAGTGATACTTGAAGAGGAAAGATGACCAATGTGTCTCCTGTAATATAATATCAATACACATTCAAAAATGTTTTCCTAGTCATCTTCATCAGATTTTCGTGGATTCTGAGGTCCAGATAAACTCATAGGGTGATGTTTGCCTCTTTTAAAAACACTTCCTCAGCATCCCGGAAGGAAAATAGCACACCTTGTACTTTGGATCCTGCCAAATATAGAAAAACATCACTTTCCAATGCTTCGTTATACCTATACGCCAGTACGTAAAAAAGCTGTGGGTTAATAACCTTCCCATTTGTGGCAGTAACCACTTGTATAACATTATTAGTTTCTTTGTTAACTATTCAGTGCCTTCAGAATTACTTTGCTAAATGGAACGTTGGGCAGCAAATATTTAGTATCTCAGAGCTAAATACATTTTTCAGTGGAGAATGCAATAGGTTACATCTTAGGCAAAGAAGCAGAATAACTCACATTTAATTTTTATGGAAATGTTGTAGGATTTTAATGACTCAAAATTATCAAGATTGGTTTTTGTGATACCTAAAAATTATGCTGGGTTTTTGTGAAATTGGCTATTTATTTAAAGGGAAAAATTAAAAGCCCACCAAAGGATCGTTGTTATTGCTTAAAGTCATATGATGTTCACATCTGGTTCTGATAAGAATCCAACATAATGTGTAGAAAATAGTTAAATGAGTCAGAAATTATTCATAAATGTTGTAGCTTCTTTAGACGCATTGTTATTTCTATTATATTTGTCAGTCCAGCTTGATTTTCTTGTCAGTAGTTTTTCATGTGTGTATCATGTGTAAATGATGGTTAAGATAGTGAAGGTCCTCTTTCCCAGACGTACTATAAAAAGAATGACATTTTTTGTTTCAGTTGGAAAATATTTGATAAGCGTATACATTTAATGAATTGCAGAATAGAGATATATTAAAATGTCTTTTCTGAATAACTTTTATGTGAGACTGACAAATTTGTAATTAATTCATAGATTGTTCAGATAAAGGGATGAATAGGTAGTAGCTCAGTATATATGCAATTCTGTTTACAGTGCAATATTGAAATAAATTACAAAATATTTAAAAGCAAAAATGTTCTTTAAGTAATTATTGTGATAATTATTGACTTTGAATAGGTTATATTACACCAAGAAGGACACATGGATGATGGTCTAACCTTACAAAGATGTCAGCTCGAGGAATCCCAGGCTGCTCGAATCATTCGCAATACTACAAGCTTATTCAGCCATTTTATAAGGTAGTTGTTACTGTCTTATGTATAATTTTTTTGTTTGGATGCTTTTTTAAAAGTATTCTGAAATGATAAGAATTTCTCTAATAACATCCTTATTTCCTGTTTTCAAGTATTTGTATTTAGAGGCTGTTAGCTATTTGCTGAATTGAAGTTTGTAATTTTGATCGGTAATGCCATTAAATAGATAAGACAGATCATTTAAGATTATTTACATGAAATCTAGTATCATGAAGCCAGAAGCAAACTGGGTCATAGTCCAGGTTGAAGGTACGTGCTAAACAACCTCAATGTCACTCCATTCTGCAATAGGTAGAACTTCACAATATTCACAAACTGGTTCTTATTTTCCTGTTTTTCTTGGTAGATCAAATATTGTAGCCAACTTTATTCAAATTTGTCAAACTAATTGAAAGGAATTTTGATGCCTATTACTGTTTAGATTAAAAATAAGATGAGGAAACCATAGCAGCCCCAAGTCCATTCAAATAAATGACAGAAGGAAGTCAACATAGATCTCTGCGTGTCTGGGAGGAGAATCCCAATTTATTGCCTCCAAAATCTGGGCTGAAACATTTTACCTGTACCTTTTTAATCGCCATCTCCTACTTCTCTGTCACCCTCCTAGTCATTGGGAAGATTTAAGGATCAAAGGAGAGGCAGCCCTCTCTGGTGACTGTATGTAGTATAACAGATTATGTGCAATAACATCATCTCCTTAATCTCCTGTTTAAACCAACACATTCATTTGCAGTGGAATGAATTTATGGATATTCAAAGTCAGTAACAGCATCTCAGCAGAGAGACAGTGTCCATATCTGATTTTAAGGAACAATTCAAGTTGTGATTCTAAGACTTTATAATAGAATCAATAGAATTACCTTCTAAATAGTATTTATCTTCCAAATCTTTGCTGTGCTAGAGTGCAATGCAGTCAGCAATTATACCTCAGAAAGAATTATCCAAGATCGGTGTCTTCCACTAACTGTATAATAGAACTCAAAAACTTATGTGGAAACACTGAGGGCTACTTCTACAGAAAAAACCCATCCTTGAATAAATGAGCACTGTGAAACACACAGTATATGAGTACCCTAAGAATGGAGTCAGTACTACAAAGGATATTAGAAAGTTAGGGAAAAAACAATTTAATATAACACCAGACTTGCTCTGTCATAATCTTGATTTATTGAGAAGGTTGTATAAAGAGCTGTACTTGTTAAGCAGTCGCCTAATATTCTTGCCGCATGCATGGCAACGTAATACATTTCATTGAAAAATACAGTCCTGGCCAGTAGCAAAACAAGTGTGTTGGACATAAATATAATTTAAAGCAGTTTGTCTAAATTTGTATGTTGCTGACTGAAGAGCCTTTTTATCCTCAGGAGATGTTGCATATTAATGAACTATTGACAAAATGAGCATGGAAAGATACTGTATCAATCGCATTTCATCCCTAGTTTGGTTTTCTGGATTCAAACCTATATTTAAACAATGTTATTTATGGAATTGATTTTCAAGAAGTCAAATAACACTTGTGACAGCTTCCGTTTTTCCAGTCTTCTTGAAGTACATGTTGTGCTTAAAAAGGTTTGTTCTACTGCTGTATATCCTGCTTGCCAAACTGTACAAAACTGTTCAGAATGTTTTCTGCCATTATCAGTTTAAATTAATTTTGACAAATCTGTTACCAAAAAGTTTGAGACTTTACATGGGAATAGTTGTAAAGTAATTGTTCTGATGAGGGCTTTAATATTCAAATAGTGAAGGGAAGTATCATGAAATTTGTCTCACATATGTGGTAGTAGTTGACTTTTTGAATACCTTTAGATATGTTAGTTTGAAAATACGGGGCATTTTGAAGCATAATTTCATTATCCTATTTCTTTTGTTACTTCTGTTACTCTTCATTCATTCTTTAGAGTAAATTGTTCATGACATTTATCTTACATTACTAACTTCACAGGTCAATAGCTGTATAACAAGCAGTAAGACAAAGTCTTCAGTTCAGTAAAAGTTCCATGTTTCCTTCACTATAGCTCTTTCATATGATATGTTTTATTCTGAATATTTTTAGGATAAAATACTATTCTGTGTCAATGCATATTCATTTATAATTGCTGAGATCAACGTCTAAGATACACAGTGAAATCAGTAAGATTGTATGTATTATTGAAGAAACTAGTTTTCCATAATGCTTGGCAGAAGTGTTAATTGTGATCAAGTGGTCATCCTTGTATTACTGCCTAATAAATGAAAAAAAAGTTTATAATTAAGAATTTGCTTCCACAGAACCCACCAGATGAGACTCTGTACGCTACTCCTTTGTATTTCCTGTGCTGAAGATATAAAAACAGAGCAGCCTCTGCCAGCGATCAGCTCCTCCTAGATTATACTTTTTATAATAGTGAGTCAGACTGAAAAATTGGCTTGTGACCCAAATACTTTAACAGGAAAGAGAGATTATTTTACTGACAACTGAGATTCCTTAATGCTTTATCTTTTTAAATCCCACCCTTCTTTATTTCACATGTAGAGTTGATACAGAAAACATAATTAATGGTTAAGATCACCTGTGTTCTTTGTCTAGAAGACTGGGTTTGTACAGCCTCAATAACTGCTATTATTTTATTCCATCTTCATAATACACCTATATCATCAGTAGGATTTACAGTATCTAAGCAAAATCAATTACTGTAAGAAAAGACTTCAGTACATCTTTCATCTGTTTCATCTTTTTGTCAACTCTTACATTGTTTCTTCTGCTCTCTTTTTTTTTATTTTTTAACCATTCTCTCTCTTTACATCAGTGCAGAAAGGCAAACATGTTTCCACTTCAGGAAGCTCTGAGTGCCGGAAACCCAAATAAGAGATGTTCGAATGATTTGCAATTCAGATCAACTGTTGTTCATATACATGTCATCTGTATAACAAGACTTGATTTAGATACCAACAAAAAATAGGCTGCTACATAATACTGTAAATTACAGTGTGAAAACGAATAATGCTGCCGATCTTTCTTGCTGTTTTCTGTAGTGGAAACAACAGAACACTGTCACCCGCTGCCCTGCCTATTGAGGAGATGGCTCAGACTCTGCAAGATCTGATTACTTACTTCCAGCTTCCCGAAGAAGACCTGGAACATGAAGATAAGCAAAGCAAGCTTCGGTCACTCAAAAACAGACAGAATCTATTCAAAGAAGAGGTACAGAGAGAAGAATAGTTTTATTATTTAAATTTGTCCTGTATCATGTCATAAACATTGAGGAGAACCTCAATGTTATCACCTTAATGGATGCACGTGATTTATGATGTAAGGTTCTGTAGCTGTATATGTATACAAACACACACATAATAAACTGGAGTGCCATATGATAACTTGCTCTTATGTCTTTTTCATTTCCACACTTGTCACAGGCCACAAACGCTCTCTCATAAAATTTGGTTTTAATGCTTCCGAGCACCTTTAAATAGATGTCATTTTAAAGAGAAACTATTGTGACAATAAAAATTCCTTTTCTCTCTATGAATTTATACATTCTGGATACCCCAAATGAAGAGTAAAACTTGGATCAACGATAGGTGCTATTTCTGACATCTTGCCTGTCCACCAGGGTGGGAAACAGGAACTTTTTATCTCTAGAAACTGGAAGAATGGTAGTTTCAGAAGAGCACCTGTATCACATGATTATAGAATTGCTCCTTTCTGAAAATAGAATAATTACACTTTTGTATAAAGAGGAAAAATATTTTACAACATTTTTAGATATGTTTGGATTGTCTAAAGGTTTGAAATACCATTAAAATGGTATTTTAAAGAATATTTAAATACCAGTTAAAAATTTATTCTCATATTTGAACTTGTTTGTTTTACAGATATTTTTTAATTGGACAGTAAATTTTCCATCCTTTTTTTGATCAACAGAAATTCCTTTGTATATAAATTTAAAGTGATTTTGTTTTTTTCCTGTGTAAGGAAGATTTTATGTAAAAAATAGTCTCCTTACTTATTTATAATACCTGGCTCAGTAAGAAACAGTATAGAATAATCCTCTAAATCTGATGATTTCGATATGGAAAAATACGCATTCAAATCTTGTAAGCACAGTAGTTTGGTTTGGTTTTTCTTTTCTTTAAATCTAATATTATGTACCTTTTAAATGTGTACCAGAAAAATATTTTGAAAGAATAACAAACACTTTTTCATTTACATTTGGCTTTCCTCTCCATTGTCTGCATTTAGGGAATGCTGGCGCTAGTTTTGAATTGCATTGATCGCTTAAATGACTACAACAGTGCAGCTCATTTTGCAGGAATTGCAAGAGAAGAACAAGGTACAGCATGGAAAGAAATTTTGAATCTCCTTTACAAATTGTTAGGTAAGTTCTTCAATAATCTACTAGTGTAAAAAGCAAGATATATATTCTTTACTTGCTGCTTCAACACCACAGAATATTTTGTGTGTTACTCATTCTGTCATGTAAATTACAGTAATTCTGTCATATACTTACTGATATTTATTACAGAGAACAGTTTATTGATAAATGACAGAGCAGACAAAATAAATCTCAGCTAGGAAAAAGATGGGTGCAGCATTCCAAATGCATTGGTTTGGGTTTTTTTTTGTTTTTATTTTTTGTACCTGTGGTATGCAAATAGGTATGAATATTTATTCTAAAAAATAGAAAAACTTTAAATATGAAGCTGAAGAGAAGCCTAAAAGTAATAGTCAGTACTTGTAGGTCTACTAATTCCACGTTTGCCACTCGAGGCTCAGATTTAAATGTTAATTAAAACAATTACATAAAACAGAAATTAAGATTTTTGTCAGTTTCAATGCCATGCTTTCTAGAACTGCTTCTGTGTTGTAGAGCCAAATTTATAGAGTAGGAAAAGTATGTATATGTGCATTTCTTTAAATCACTAATTTGATACCTGAATTGTATAATTCCTCATATAGGGGAATCTTGTCTTCTGGTGGAGTTTAGTAACATTCTAAATTCATTACAAGGAAATTTAGTCCCAGTCAAGTCGAGAGTTGGGTCAACAGTGAAACAAACCAGGGAGAGTGCTTTGAAGCATGATGTTATTCACATAGCATAGACACGCAGATGCATCTGGTGAAATTTTCTCATCGCTTTAGAAAGTAAAAAGTTACCATTGCCTGCATTTTACCATAGTCTTATGAGTTTAAAGAAGAACAGGATGAAAACAAATCTCTAAAGTGCTATGCAGGCCCTTTAAATTTTTTTCTTTATTTTCTTCTACAGGTACATTTAATGTACCTCATTCATGTTTATAAGTATTTAAAGGGTGAGTGTCACGAGGATGGAGCCAGGCTCTTCTTGGTGACAAACAATGATAAGACAAGGGGTAACGGACACAAACTGGAACACAGGAGGTTCCACTTAAATTTGAGAAGAAACTTCTTCTCAGTGAGGGTGACAGAGCACTGAACAGGCTGCCCAGAGAGGTTGTGGAGTCTCCTTCTCTGCAGACCTTCAAAACCCGCCTGGACGCCTTCCTGTGTAACCTCATCTGGGTGTTCCTGCTCCGGCAGGGGGATTGGACTGGGTGAGCTTTTGAGGTCCCTTCCAATCCCTAACGTTCTGGGATTCTGTGATTCTGTGATACATCATGAACAATCTTGTTCTGATGTAATAAATATTATGCTAGTGCTTCATAGTAAAAATTTTATACACTTTCATACAAAAAGCATACACTTTTCCCCCCTATGATCAGTAGTAACTTCTGGAAGAAAAAAAAGCCAGTATTGCCTGTAGTACTTGAATGCTGATGAACTTTCAAAGTGTAGTCAAATAACATTGTGTTCTATGCTGCTGTATACTAAAAGCTATCTGTTCTGTAATAGGTTTTGATCAGAAAGTAGAGCTAAAGAGCAGTACTCCACCTGCCATTGAGCTTAAACTTCTGCATATGATCTTCCCACTCATTCCTAGGATGAAATGGGAAAAGAAGTGTTTCAGACTCTTAAACATAACAGTGCTTCACATTTGCGTCAAACAAGGATGATGGATAGCTTCTATTTACATTTATAGCAAAGTAAAATACAAATATAACATATTCTTTGCTGAAATTCTTGTTTATCCAGTAGACCCTGTCAACGCTGAAAACTACGTGCTCTTTAGAAGTTATGTCAGTTGCTGAAATTCAAATTAATGAAAATCTTAATTCTTTATTACTGTAGCATACTTGTATTCAGGATTTGTCTGTTTATTATTTTGTGAAGTTGTTATAAAAATGTGTTAAAATATATGTGATTAACATTAGTGATTTAAAAAGGAAATGTGCTGTTATAAAACTATACCTTGTGGTTTTTTCCAGCTGCTCTCATTCGTGGCAACAGAAACAATTGTACTCAGTTTTCCAGTAACCTTGATTGGCTAATAAGTAAATTGGAGAGATTAGAATCTTCCTCAGGTGAGACTCACTTTTATAAAAGTAAATTAACTACCAATACACCATACACAACTCTCTTACATTATAAATGTCAAAGCAGTTTTCCTTGAAAGCAGCATGCATTAGAAAAATACTGTATTTTTTAAATTGAGCAATGTGTTACATTTTTGTGGCCTTTTTAGGTTACATACATTTGGTATGTGCAATACCACATCCAATCAGTGTTGAATGTGATTTTGGTGAATTATTAGATTGGGTCAGACAGTATCAAGACTACATTGCTATCAAATTACACCAGAGTTGTTTGTGAGCACAAGTATAAATACATATATGTATACATATTTTTTCACTATAGGTTGTTCAACAAAATATTGAAATACTGTACAACACCCCCTACTAAAACCTTTGTCTTTCTTATTGAAAAGAAGGCGCTCAACTTGCATTTTTCTCAAGTAGTTCTAAAATTGTGGCTGTTACCCAAAGAAAACAGCTTCATAATGCATTTATGTCTAATGTGGTTCACATCATAGTCATATCAAAGTGTTTTCATTCTCTTTTTAGTCTGGAGAAAAGACAGCATCTCTTAAGATACTTTGGTATTTACTGAGCTTTTAGACTGTGTTCAGTTGTTCAGATGATTTAATGACAACATTATTTCTATGGCCTTCATACAGGTATTTTGGAAGTGTTGCACTGCATCTTGATTGAAAGCCCAGAAGCTTTAAATGTAATAGCTGAGGAGCACATCAAATCCATCATTTCATTGTTGGATAAACATGGGCGCAATTATAAGGTATGTTTGGAAAAACTAAGGATGTCTTGATAATTTTACAATGGTTTGTGGAAAAGAAAACAGAGAAATGTCTACATGGAAATATGTGATTCTAGAACCTTAAAGGAATAAAATAAGCTTGAAGTACATCTGAAAAATTTCTTTGTCGAGATTAAAAAAAGTGTAATATATAATTACGTTTCAGTTTCAAGTACAGCAAATATGTATGACAAGCAAATAGTTAAGAAATACTGATGACCAGTGAGAGCTTTGGATTTGCTGAGAAAGTGAGGCATTCTGGTGGCTGTAAGGACGTGGACAGAGTAGCTTGCTCTCTGATGCAAGACTCTGCAAGAGCAGTGAAGTACTGTTGTTGTACCTTCAGAAACGCAGAAGTAAATCCTGCAAAGTCATTTCTAATGAGTAATAATAAAAGTAGCAGAAAAGAACAAAATAAAATGAGAAATCGAAAAAATAATCCAAATATCTGAAAACACAGGTGTTCAGAAGAAAGGAAAAAAAACCCCGAGTTATACCTGAAGAAATAATGGTGGAAATTAAATTAAACATCAATGGGCAATTTATTATGACAGAAGAAAGTGAACACAGTTTCTGGCTGCGACCAGGATGACATCACAACACAGAGGAGAATATAGTTTTATGTGTGATTTTCTGATGTGAGTTTCCTTCCTCAATTAAAATTTTATTTGAAAGACTGATAACTTGAAGGAAGAACAGAGAAAGTTTTAGAGAGTTGCAATTACTGCTTTACAGGGGAAGGTAATACTGAGAATCTAACCAACTACATATACAGAAAAGGAGAGCAGTGTTTTCAAGCAGGGCTAAGGAATATGAACTGATGTAAGTAAGCATAAGAAAAAAGTTGAAATTAGAGCAGTAACTTTAGCTTACTATTTTTAGCTGTTAGCAAGATTATTGTGCTGTGCCAGCACCTGCAAAGAGAACCTTTCAGCTTGAGCATCTTAACGTAGACCTCATAATGGGAACTTAAAGCAGAAAAGGAAAATGTATACAGGAGGAAAATTAGATGGGGTAATAGATTTGTGCATTTCCATTTGTAAGGTCTTTGACTAAACATCAGTAAGTAATGAAGGAATGAATGGATTTGTTACTCCGGAAACAGAATATCTTGTTCTGCTGCTAGATTGGAAATTTCGTTGTGATTTAGGAAATAAGAATCAGTAATATTAACCAAAATTGTTTTGGAAAATACTGATTTGAAGAATGTTTTTCATGAAAAGTCTTGTGTCAGAAACGTGATCAGAGAGTGCATAGAGTTTATTTAAACTGTTTCTATGTAAATTCTATGTTATTGATTCTCAATTTTATTAAGAGACTTTACAGTTGAGTACTGGTCAGAGTTTCTGCATTTATTCAAGTTACTATCTCTGCCCATCTGCTAGAGGCTTCTGCCCAGTAACAAAGATGGTAGGAAGGAAAATGCATGGTCTGGGACACAGCAAAGTTCACAACATATTAGCTTAAACTGCTGTTGAGAATTGTTTTGTGCTAATCTTCTGGGCAGAGGAATGGATAAAATAAATGTTCTGCCCTGCTGCTCCTTGTGTTGCACAAGTTTCCAAAATGATAATTAACAGTGTGAAGATGGTTCTTTGTCTTAGAGATGGTCTGTACGAGTTTAGACCATTTGGGCTCATTGTCCAGTGATTCCTTGTAAGAGCTCAAGTGCATTTTTAAGCTTCTCTGTTTTGTTGCACAGTGTACAGCTTTGTCCCTTAGCATTAAATAACACTATGTTAATGTGTTCTGTCTTTCAAGACCTTTTTCTCCAGTAATCTGTGGGAGAATTGTATCAATTGCTTTCATTTTTTAGACTATGACAAAAAAAAAAAGAAAGACGAACTTTTAGAATGAGATCTTGCTGAAACTCTGCTTTGCTTTATAGTAAATTATTCTGGACGTGTTCCTGTGTGACCTAGTCTAGGTGATCCTGCTCTGGTAGGGGTTGGACTGGATGATCTTTCAAGGTTCCTTCCAAGTCCTAATATTCTGTGATTCTGTGATTCTAAATGCTTTCCATTAAAAAAAAATAAATTACTTCTCATACTGAAAATGCGCTTTCAGTACAGATTCATAAGCATTTTGAAAATTACAGTTGAAAATTGTCCACTAATTTTTCTTGGAAAGTCTTTTGGGCTGCAGTAAAATTCTCAAATAATTTAATTCTATTTTTCAAATTTTTAATGAGATTTAATTGAAAAAAAGTAAAGAGTTGACATACAGCTGTTCTAGTTTTGTTTTTTTTTTCTAATAGAAATGATAATAAGAAATTTTAAAGGAAAGTTTTTCAGGCGTTTTACAGACTTTGTGTTCTGAATTTGTGTTCCACGAATGTTTGATATCCACTGTCAGTATTACAGACTACATTTGGTCCATATATGTGAAAAATACTTAGAAAACAATGATAATGTGTATTATATTCCTTCCAACTGAATAATAGTATACACAGCTGCCTTTACCTGACTTGCTTCTGATTTTTTTTTTAAGGTTCTTGATGTGCTCTGCTCTCTCTGTGTCTGTAATGGAGTTGCAGTCCGTGCCAATCAAAATTTGATCAGTGACAATCTACTGCCTAGAAGAGACTTACTTTTGCAAACACGTTTGATTAATGATGTGACCAGGTATAGTGACATCTTTTATTGTTATATTAGAAAAAATGGAACTTATATGTCTTCAGTAATTAATTGAAGAAAAATAGTGTAATCCAAGAGATGTTCCATATTTTTCAACATTGAGACACAGATGTTTGGATGCGTTTATGTATTAACTTCTGAAAGATCCATTTTTACTAACAGTACAGCAATTGTAATGTTCAAATAGATATTGCTAATTAACAGTAAAACCTGTTTTGAAATGGAAAGATGAAAGTTGCTTGTTTCTCATTCAAAACAGAGCATGGCTTTATCTAATAATTATTATGGAGTATATAGACATACTGTGAAGTACTGTTTTAAGAGGGATTTGATTTCACTGTAACTTCACTCCTGTTTGTTTTTTATTTAATATATATTTTAGGCAATGATCTTGGTATTCCTTTTTTGACTACAAATTTTTCAATTCATGGAAACAATACTTTAGAAGATAATTCAACAACAGCTATATAAAGTCATAAAATAGATACTATTTAAAATGTTATAAGCAAAGATGAACATCTACGCTCTTTTGTCATATTTGCAAAGTGATTTTGACTACTATGCAGCAATATAGTTCTTATGCTGCATTTTATGTTTTATACTAACTGGCTTACATTTTCTTTCTTAGCATAAGGCCAAATATATTTCTGGGTGTTGCTGAGGGCTCTGCACAATACAAGAAGTGGTACTTTGAGTTAATAATTGATCAGGTTGATCCATTCTTGACGGCAGAACCCACCCATTTACGAGTTGGATGGGCCTCTACTTCAGGTTATGCCCCCTATCCTGGAGGTGGAGAAGGATGGGGAGGCAATGGTGTTGGTGATGATCTGTACTCTTACAGTTTTGATGGCCTTCATCTGTGGTCTGGTAAGTACTTAGTTCACTTCCACTTATTCTTACACTTAGGAGTTACCTACCTTTACCTCCAATACTTCTGTGTATATGGCATGCTATTTTGTAGCGAGCTACATTCAGAGCTCCAGGGTACTATGAGGTTATTTAGAATTTCAGATCAGACTTGTCTGAGCTTTTAGTCAATACTGAATTATACCAATTAGGTTTTTCAGCAGATAGCTTTTATTTTAATGTTTTTGAGCAAAAAATGGCATTTTCCATATCTAGATCAATACTGGCTTAAGTCTGCCTGTTCAAAAATCAATGGATGTATTGATCTCAGACAAATTCATTGTATGTGGATCTACATTTGCAGTATTTTTTCACTTTTTATTTACAATAGAAGTAAAATGACATTATTATCCTCACAGCTTTTGATATATTTAATAAACTGAATTTAAATTTTGTTAAATAGTTTCATTAAAGAATTTTGGCAATTACAGATAAGAACTGATTCACTATTACCAACTTTGGTTGGTTTTTAGAACATAAATGTCTGTGGTGTAGTATCAAACTGAAAACCTGTATTTGCTATGCTGTTTGAATAAATATTGTTATCTAAAATAGACTTAGCAGTAAAAAAAGAAGTTTTTCTATGAATGCTTCTTAATGTGTGTAGAAATCTATGAGACTGTCAATTAGTACTGCAGTGAAGTGGTTGCACTTACAGTTTATAAAGAAGGCAGTTAATGGATGCCAGCAAATGCATTTTTTGTGGTCTCTTAAGAATCAGTGATTGTAAACTTGTGGTCTTATTAGCCATTCTTTGTTCAAGAAAATTGAAAATGTTAGTGGCCTATGGTACTGAAGAATTTAAATTCACCACCCATCACATTTAAATTCATCCATGGACCCAAGTTTGGATTTGAGTAAGAGCTTTAGAAAAGTAAAAAGTGTTTACAGGCAGGCTAATCTGAAGTGTTGCCGTTCAAATCTTTTTTGTAATAGTAGATGTGTTATAAAGAATAACCACTGAGGGAAAAAAGGAAAAAAAACCAGAGGAATTATTAGGATGCTTTGAAGAGGGATTAGTCAGAGCTCAAAGCCTCTGCCTTTGGAGTTACGAGCAAGGCTGCTGTTTTTTTCTGTGGTTGTCCCTTCCCTTAATACTAAAGGGAAAGTGGAATATACATTTTGTAAACAGGCAGGTTTGTCACAGCAGAATGCCTTTAGACCAGTCACTGTATGTTCCTATAGAAAAAAACCAAAACCAAAGAAAACAAAACCCCAACAACCATCAAAATCATATTGGCTAATTGTAAGAAACAAATGGCAACACAGGAAATGTGGTTTTTTTTGTTTTTATTTCTTAAGGTTCCAAAATATTTTCTAAATCAGGAACCTTTCAGAGAAGAAATAATGTGTAAGGCTATAAAATAAGAAAACATTTAGGTAATAAGTTGTATACCCTTAACTATATCATCTGCTATCTTTGTAACATCATTCTTAATCAAACTATCAATAAATAATGAAAGAAGAAAGAAAAACAATAAGAAGAAAAACAATTGCTAAAATTTCTGTAAGATTTTACATATGCATTCTGCTTACACAAATATTTAAAACAGAGCTCTGGCAATTGGGTTTTGTACCTACTATGTGTAACAATCTGTCTTAACTGGTAAATGTCATTCATATAGAAGATTTCATTAAGAATATAGATAAAACTGCAGGATCACTTTCTATTAACATTGTATTAATATAGTCTAAAATGGTATTTTCTCTGGCTTATACCTTTGTTAATTGTAAATTGTCTGAGAGCAGATTTTATTGGCTGGGTCTCTGCCTCAAGACAGAACTGAGTTGAAAACTGAGTTCATTTTCCAGAATGAGATGTGGACATTTTTTCCAGAGCTGGATAATTCTGACTGCCTTTACTCTGAAATGTTCTAACATTGAGTTGGGAATGTAACGTTTTGTTGTAAAGGACATTCTGTAACAATTCTTTTCACCAAGAATTTAGATTTCTGTGTTTCCCATATAAGTCTTTTTAAATTTGTTCTTAGATTTGTTCAAAAGACTTAGAAAAAAATTATCAGTAACAGCACACTATAGATCTGTCTTAATTGCAGTTTTGTATCTCAAGCATTCAGAAGTTTTGGGGGAAAAAATAGACAGGATTTCATTCCTTGTGTGTAAAATCTTTGATTATGAAGTAGAATGTAATATTTCCTTCCAGATCTCTCTTGCATACAGTAAATGATGATTATTTTTTAGATTGATCAGTTTGTGTCTTGTGCTTTATTTACTTACACTATTCAAGGCATGTAGGCTAAATCATTAATTTCCTCGTATTTCTTAGTGCCTTGAAATGCCATATACAGCTGGGTACTCTTTATTTGCTCAGAATAGTGTGGGGCCATGTAACTAAAAATTGTTTTGCAAATACAGTGAATTTTATGCCCTTAATTCTAATATTTGCTAATTTGGGTCTGTTTGACTTTTCAATTATTGTAGCATTTTTCTAGCATAGGATTTTGTTTATTTAATATCTGTATGTGTGCACGCATACATAATTAGATTTTTTTTAGCACTACTGAACAATTCTCAAATGACAGAAATAATGATTTTTTAGGGGGAGTAGGCTGGGAGACATCTGTAACATACTTCATTATAAATGGCTGAATAAATCATTACTACAAAATTAAACACTAATTGAACCTCAGAAACACAGTGCTAGAAAGTGTCTTAAATCTCATGTCCTGCTGTAAGGGAAAATTCAGAGTACTTAAAACTATCCTGAACAGCTGACTTCTATTTTATTGCTCTAAACACAATAATTTGGAATAGTGCTTTACTGCTTAATTAGACTTGCTTTACAGTTAAAACAGAATGTTTTCAGGGGAATTGTTTTGAAAGGAATTCTGAAGAGAAATTCCTTGGCTAAAAATATACACAGGTACTCAAGCGCAATGGAAAATCTGCAATTATCTGTAAATGTGTATAGTTAGATTACTTCAGATATATTATCTCTAGTTAATTATTGTTATAATTACTGAGTCCTGTAAGGTTCCACCTTTCCCAAGTAGGGAAAATGAAGCTCCCTCTGCTCAGTGTATAGCTGTAGTTGATCAAGAAAACCTGGCCCATTACATTCCTGATCCAGGTTTTGATAACTCAGTGCACTGTTCTGCCTCTTGATAGTGTAAACCTGGATATTGGTCATAATCACAGCTTCAGTAGAATCATAGAATCACAGAATGATTCAGGTTGGAAGGGTCCTTAAAGCTCATTCAGTCCAACCCCTGCCATGGGCAGGGACACCTCCACCAGACCAGGTTGCCCAAAGCCCTGTCCAACCTGGCCTTGAACACTACCAGGGAGGGGGCATCCACAACTTCCCTGGGCAACCTGTGCCAGTGTCTCACCACTGAATATTCACAGATTTGTGAATCTCATATTTCACAACTAACTAAATAAAATAAAATGAAATATATCAATTTTAGCTTTATAAAGAGGGCTTCATTTACCGTGCCTCAGTACTCTTACCTCAGGCTACAGTGTGAACTTGTGTGATATCAGCTGAGTGAGTTCTGTCTTGTGAAGTGTCAGAGGTCTCAAGTGATTTACTCAGTTTATACACTTTTCTGCCACATATCAATCTCAAGAATGTTTACTAGCTGTCTGTCTCTAAAAGCAGAACCATTCATAAAACAGGTGAAGTCAAGATCACATCTTCGTGACTACAAACAAATGTTTTTGAGGAAATAATGTTGTGGTTAAACCTGTAAGAGTCTGCTTAAAGCTTCTGATTACTGAATACTTCTATCCTAGGTCGAGTACCCAGAGCTGTAGCATCTGTCAATCAGCATTTATTAGCATCTGACGATGTGGTTAGCTGCTGCTTGGATTTAGGTGTACCCAGCATTTCATTCCGCATTAATGGGCAGCCTGTACAAGGAATGTTTGAGAACTTCAGTACAGAAGGGTTTTTCTTCCCTGCTGTAAGCTTATCAGCAGGTGTAAAGTAAGTACAATTTAATCTTGATTGTTGTTTTCTTTGCTGTCTTGTCACACAAAATATTGTCCAAATTCATGTATGATTTGTTCTGTTTTGTTGTTTTGGTTCTGCCCAATATGCAGCTGGGATGGAGGGAGGCAGGAAAGTACTGATTAGTTTAGTGATGGTTTCACTTAAGGGTGAATTGTGGTCCTGTTAGCAATTTGACCAAGTCACAGTGTCTGAAAATTATTATTTTATGGACATTTGGTGAGCTAGAGAAATTAATTTTGTCTCATTCCAATTAGCAGTGGAAAAAAAAAAAGCACATTAGAAACACAGTACCACATTTGGCACTAATTAGAATTCTCACTGGCTTTCTCAGCAGGATGTAAAAAAAGCCTAAATCATCATGAGAACTGATACTATATTCACAGTAGAAAACTGATGAAAAGCAGTTTTATAATCTCATTACTAATATTGCCCATTTCTTAGATAGTTTGTAGCTAAAATACTGAGATTCGAACTTACAATTTTCAGGCTTCTATTGTTACCTTTATTTTATTCAGAAAATCTGCAAGTGTCAGTCTGCTTAAGTGGCCAGAATACTTTTGTGAGCATTACAAAGCCACAACAAAAGACCAGCTCTTGCACTGTTGTTTTGACATAAAAAATTTCTGTTCAGTTCATCTTAGAGAATCTTTATTGCTGGTATTGGCAAACAATAATCACAGAATCACAGAATCACAGAA